TTTTTTTTTTTTTTTTTTTTTTTTTTTTTTTTGAGACGTAGTCTCACTCTGTCACCCGGGCTGGAATGCAGTGGTGTGATCTCAGCTTACTGCAATGTCAGCCTCCCGAGTACAAGCGATTCTGCTTGCCTCAGCCTCCTGAGTAGCTGGGATTACAGGTGCATGCCACCACACCTGGCTAATTTTCGTAGTTTTTAGTAGAGACCAGGGTTTCACCATGTTCATCAGGCTGGTCTTGAACTCCTGACCTCATGATCTGCCCTCCTTGCCCTCCCAAAGTCCTGGGATTACAGACGTGAGCCACAGTGCCCAGCCCAAATACTCCTTTAAGGCCCCAGCAGACCAATACAATCACATGCTCCTGGAATTTGACAGCTTGAAGTTTATAGCCTTACTAAACTGTTTATCTTATCTGTAGTGGTTGCTTTCCTTTACCCCTCAAGATCAATTCACGTAAATCAGTTATTTAAGAATTTGAGAAAAATATGCCTTTGCCTTAATGTGTTATATTGTATTCATCAAGATCCTGACTCATTTGTGACATTTGCTGTTAGAATGAAAACTAATTCCGACCTCATTATCTTCATGTACATTTTTATTTTTTGCCGCTCTCACCGTGAAGGTCATGGACAGTGTAATTGTGGACGATGTGACTGCAAAGCAGGCTGGTACGGGAAGAAATGTGAGCACCCACAGTCCTGCACTCTGTCGCCTGAGGAGAGCATCAGGAAGTGCCAGGGAAGCTCTGATCTGCCTTGCTCTGGGAGGGGTAAGTCCGGTCTCTCAGGGCTTGCCACGGCCTTTCCATCATGATTCAAATGAATTCAATGCACACACATCTTAATTTAAAAAACAGCTGAGATCCCTGAATGAGGGGCTATTAGTCTTTTTAGAACTAATAATAAATCCAATCTCCATGAATGAAAGTACACGGAGAAATATATTTCTCTTTCTCTCTACATATATCTTTCGCACACAGACACTCTCACTCACTGTCAGTCTACTTTAGCCTTAAGGTATGTTCAGTTTCAGTTCAGTTCAGTTCAATGTGACATCAAAAAAAGAAACAGTTTAGACGTTTGCTTAAAGCTTTCTGAATGAGACCATCTAATTGTCCACTGACATTTATGAAACCCAGTAACATTATTTTGAGGACAGTGTTGGCTTTTGAAAATTCATTGTGTAAACAAATAGCTATGAATAAGCTTTTGTCATTTTAGAAGGAAGGTATGTAGCCTCAGGTGTGTTCTTGGTATCAGATCAGTACAAATTGGAGAAGGACAAATTCGTCTAGAAGAACACAGATTCCATTCCTCTTGATTTATCAAAACAAGAAATGCAATTTCACTTCTCACATGACAATAGCGAAGTTAATATGAAGTATACTTTTGAAGAACTCGTAATTGATACTATTACCAATTTTGTTCAAGAAAGAGGAAACAGAAAGAGTTTCTTCACTTGAACATTAGATCAGAAATTTAATTTTACCTTGCATTTTTTTATATGTATTTTTAATAGGGATATAGTTGACATACCATAAAATTCATATACCACTCAGTGTTTTAATATATTAGCATAATTACACAGCCGTTACCACTGTCCAATTCCAAAAAAAAATGTTTATCATCATAAAATACTCTGGTAGCCTATAGCAGCCACTCCCCATTCTCTTGTCCCAGAACCCCTAGAAACCACCAGTCGACTTTCTGTCTCTATGAACTTGTCTATTCTGAATATTCCATACAAATGGAGTCATAAAATATGTGATCTTCTTGCATCTGGCTTTCTCCACTTAGCATAAGTGTTTGCAAGGTTTATCAAAGTTGTAGCATATGTCAGTCCTTCATTCCTCTATGGCTGAATAATATCCTGTCGTATGGATACACCACAGTTATTTAACCCTTCATCAGTTAATGGGCATTTGGACATGGGGTTTCTACTTTTTGGCCATTATGAGTAATGCTGTTACAAACATTCCTGTGCAAGTTTTTGGGTGGACATGTCTTTTAATTTCTTTGGAATCTGTATCTGTGAGTGGAATTGCTGGGTCTTAGAGTGACTCTGTTGTACCTTTTGAGGCACCGCAGGACCATCTTCAAAATGGCGATACCATTTTACATTCCACCAGCAGCGTGTGGAGTTTCCAGTTTCTCCACATCTTTGCCATTTCTTGGTATTGTCTGTCTTTTTGATTTTTTACAGTATTCTTTATAAAGAAAACTCCATAAAGTCTCTCAGATTGTTTGCAGCATAGGTACTTTCTCATATCCATTTTCCCCTCATGGTTGTAGGTAGAAGAGTAGAGGACTAGGATATGGGTATAATATATATATATATTTTTTTAATTTCAGAAATATTTTTGACTAGCCCTGTATTTCACTAGTAACCCCAGACAGGAACCATTGTTCTATCTGCATTGTAATATTGTCATTATAGTGCTGCATAAGCCATCATGCTTTTAAAGAAACAAAGATTAAAATTCATATCCCTCAGACTGCTGATTTACCAACACTTGTAATCTACAGCAAAAAATAATTTTACATTATTATTTTACATTTACAAAAAGCTTTACCTATTGGGCCCAACCATGTAAAAAAAAAAAAAAATGAACGTAGGAAGGCTAACCAGTGTCTTTTAAAAAAAATCTGTGTATCTTTTCAAAAATGTATTATAATCCTCGGGACAATTCCATTTCAAATTGAAAACCTTGGGAGGGAAAGAAAATGACTTTATCTCAAAAATAGATTTTTGATCTTGAGGAATCTTTTTCAGTTACATTTAAGTTAGAGAACTTTAGGTACAGTGATTTTTGCTGTTATCTTAAAGTGGTAAACACAGCAAAGGGAGGTCTGGTATCTTAAAACATTATTTAAGTTAAAGAGTTCACATTCAGTAAAATTATTTAAACTCCAAATGGTTATGTCGCCAGTAGAAGTAAACAGAACAGAAACCAATAGGGATATGCACTTACATTTTAAAACAAAAAAGATGAACAAAATGTATACTTTTAACAAATGCTTTCATATTTTGAAGTTAAAAATGTCAAACCATATAATGGAAAAATAAGAAAAGCACACAAAATAGCTCTCAAACAGAGAAAATCACTGTAAGTATATACTTTTACCAATGGTTTTTCGTTTGTCTCTAAATTGTTTAATATGTAGAACAAGTCAAATAAAATTATTGGGGACTTAATATACTCCACTAGGTTTTTCCTCAGACATGCGTATTTCCTGCCTTTCTTGAGATTCACTGACTTATTTAGCTACCATTTTTAAGCAGTAGAGTATGTTTAAACTTTATTTTATTAAAAAGGTATTGAATAAATGTATAGAATTATGGTTTTTAAAATTATTTATAATTCATTTCAGCCTCTAGAAGTACTTTAAAACTAAATAAGTTTATCAGTTTCCTTACACGAGCAAAGTGATTTCGCGAGAAATCATGACACTATGTAAGATTTTTGAAAACGAAAACCAAGAAGTTATGATGGCCAGTTGAGTGCTTTTGGTCAAGGTCAGGTACCTTTTCTTTCTCATAGTGCTACATCTGCAAACTCATTGGCACTGGATGTTTTGAGGCACGTGACCAGTATGAAAACTTTCAAAGAGTTCGTTTTGCAATTTATGAATGAAAACTGCAGCTGTGGTTACATGAGTTAGGAAAGCAATTATAAGACCCATCAGTTTCTCAAGCCTGAGGGCCTCATTAGCTCACGAGCTGGGAAAAAAAAATCCTAGTAGAATATACTGAAGTTCGTCAGGGACCAGGTGAAGGCATTTACA